AGTACCCTAACCAGGACGCGGTAGGCGGCTTGTTGCGGCCGATATGTATAAGCGAGGGGGAGTTCGAGTCCGAGAACGACCAAGCTTCAATCGATTAGTAGGTAGCTTGGTTTATGATCTCAATTCGTAGGAGACGGAGTCGAGAATCAGAACCAGGAGCCCAAAAAGGAGGGTTGTAGCCCCTTCAGTGTTCCTTATCCCTTGCTAACTGGCCACTTTCAAGGACCTGCGTTGCAAACTTCCGACAACTCGCAAATAGCAATGCACTTTCATCTTCACCGATCGACAATGCCACATCAACAATGTTAGCTGACGTGTCTTTGGTTCAAAAGCCCTTGATGGTTTTTTGGGTCTGCATAAATTCTACGGCTACTACGGACTGGCTTGAGGAATACGGCATCTGGGTCTTGGAATACCTACCTTATAGGCGAGACCTCAACCCAATCGAGCACGTCTGGAAGAAATGAAGGATATCCTATATAGGGACTTCCTAGACCTATAAACCCTTAAAAACAATACGGAAAATATCGCCAGGGTTAGCGATGCCCTGAAGGTTGCGTGGGAGAGTGTGCCGCAGGGGCTAATCGACGGCTTGATCGACTCAATGCCAAAGCGACTGCGGGCTGTGGAGCGGGTACGTGGCTGGTATACCAAATACTAAAGCCCTGTCAAAGAGCTTCAAATTGATTATATTTTCCAGCGATTTGGCCCTGTTTTGACCGTGTTGTGGCTGTTCAGAGGGGGGGGGGGGGGGGTGGAAGTGTGGGTGCGGGTGCCAAGAGGCCAGGTATCAACACTTTTGCGACCTGACAGTAGGAAGAGCGACTTGAATTATCTTCCTGGGCGGTATTCGCCAGAATGGTCACTTACCGAGCGGAAATCAGGTGGCATACTTGAAGCAAAGGGAAATACAATTTGATCTCATAACCCTTGGCCGTCATGTTTGTGGCTCGGGGGCAGAGTACCTTGATTGCTAGCAAAGACGCGTCAAACAATGGGTATCCCTCCTCACTCATCATCCATCGTACACCGATTCTCGGCAATCCCAACGCCAGCAGACAACTCCGCAAGCAGACATAGTTCCTTAACCCGGCAAGAACTACTGTACACTAGCTCAAATTATCCGTCTCCCGCCAACAAACAATTACCCATTTCTTACCTCTTGACTCCCTCGCCACTCACCGCAGCCCCTCCTCTCCTCCAATCCCCAACCCAATATCCCTCTCCTGCACCTCCCCCACACCCCCAACTCCCACACCCGGCCCCGGTGCCGATACTACCGGTGGACTCAAACTCCTCCCCCCCTCCCTCCTCACAAACCACTCCCCACTGCCCACCCTCCCCATGCCCGTCCCACCTGGAACAGAAGCAAATGCAAACAGAAGCAGAACCCGCGTGATACCCACCCCCAACCCGACAGGTAAACTCACAGCCGACATCCTCGCGTGCCCATCCCTCAACCCCACCTCCTCGGGGCCCGGTCCTGGTGGCGGGTATTCCAGTAGCACCGAGACTCTCAGTGGACCGCTGGTCCCGTCGCTGAGGCCGCGCTTCTTTTTCTGTTGGCGCTTCTCCTCCCGCGCGCGGGACATGCGCTCGAAGAGGCCCATTTTGCGCGGAGGTGGTGACGAGGAGGGAAGAGGAAGAGGAGGAGGGTGAGGATGTCGGAAGCGGCGGGGGTGGGTGCGGGAGGGGTGCGCCGTCTGTTGTCCAGCGGCGGGGTTCGGGGTCGGCGTCGGTGGGGAAGTCGAAGCCTTCGCCGGTGTATAACTGTGGGTGGGGGTGGGGGTGAGAGGTCGGGAGTGGGAATGTGTTGGCGTGGGTTTGGGCGTGTTGGCGCGGTGGTGAGGTCGAGATCGGGGTTGAGTTCGGGTGCGGGTGGGGATGGGGATAAGGTTGGTCGGGCCCGTCGATCTCAATCTCGACTGGCTCAGGTTCCTCTACGAGCCGGACGCCCACCACGGGACCGTCCTTTAGTTTGTCATTGTTTGGGTAGTCGTACAGCTGCTGGTGGTCGCTCTCAACATGGGTGCCGTCGTGGCCAACGCCGACGACGGAAATTGTTGAGTAGCGTGTGCGGGAGGAGGGCGAGGGGGAGCGGGAGTCGGAGCGGGAGTGGCCGGAACCGCGGCGGTGGCGGAGAGCAGCGTATTCGAGGCGCTTGTTGCGCTTGTTGCGGGCGTTGATGCGTTCTGTTTGGAGGAGCTTAGTGCCAGCCATGGAGAGGAGGATTGGAGACGAGACGGGGCATACCGCTAATGATCTGCAAAAAGGTAAAGACGGTCAGGGACATCAGCAGCAGCGGAACGAGCTGGCCAAACGTGGACGGGTCGTTTTCCGGGTTGCGGTTGTTGCTGCGTTGGATCCTGCGGACATTGTCAGTTCTAGATGAACGGTGACATGGTGTTCAGCAAAAGAATCGGGGGGCCGTACCACTGAGACAAATCCACCCACCGGCGCAGCCGAAAGACATACATGGCCGCAATGGCAACAGTCCAGGCCGAAATGGCAATCCCAGCCACAAGATACAGCCCAAAAATGGCATAGAAAAACCGCTTGATGCGGAAGAAGAACGGAACCACCCGCTTCAACCACGCCATGAACTTCTTCCGCTTCCCGTTATGGCCCATCCCGCGGCGGATGACCCGCCCCAGGCTGACGCACACGGCGATGATGTAGAACATGAACATGATCAGGTAGTTCGTCCACCCGTGGATCTGGCCCGTGAAGAAGGCCTCTGCCGAGCCCGACTTGAACGCTTTCTTGACCTCGTTATCCAGCATGAAATCTCCAGTCTGGAAGCAAGCCGCAGGGAGAAGCATCAGACTGTATTGCTCGGTGATAGGAGGGACTTGTGTCGGGAATCCCAATGAGCCGGAACCCTGGTTTGAGAGAAGGGAGCCGGTGATGACGAAGACGAGCGTGGTGACTGTGATGCGCAGGACGCCGAGGTAGGGGTGCTGCCAGTAGTGCCGGGCGACAGTCACGGCCATCAGGTGGGTGGCGCAGGTGACCAGCAAGATGTTGGCGACGATGTTGTAGTGGTAGGCTGAGACGGAGCACGCTTTGGCATAGCGCAGGGTGATGGCGTAGGCGCCGCCGGTGAAGACTTGCTGGTCGCTGCAGGTGACGATGAGGGCTTCGATGATGCCGGCAATGGAGATCTGCCAGTTTTTTAGGGCCTTTTCCCTGGACGGTGTGAGCGCGGTCTCGGGTGGGGAGTCGTGAGTGTCTTACTCCCTCGTCAGCCGGTTCACGACACCGAAGATGTTCTTGGCTGACCACCATGCCGAACTAGCTATGGAGAGAAGGAGTGATACTCCTGTGACACAAATGAATGCCCCAAGTACCTGGCGTCTGTTAGCCATGTGTAAGACCAGAGGCAGAGGGAAACATGCTCCTGCACCTGCAATGTCTGGGTCCCCGGGAAACTCTCCCAGGCCAACATCGCCGAGGTACCGGGCCGTGGTGTTGTCTTTGGACAGGTCGACGGTGCAGTTCACCGTGGTGCCATACTTGGCCGCGCAGTTTTCGCTGGAAACGTAGGCGCCCATGCTTACCGTCGGGGAGTCATTGACTCGTGGCAGCGAGACAGAGCCACCGGCACAGGTTGTTGAAGATCTCTGGGCAACGGCTGGTCGACCTTGGGCGAACCCCGGGTTCAAAAGACATGATCGATCGCGGATCCTGCCGCCACGGCGCAGGCCTGACCAGGGCCAGGCTATATCAGCCGGCCGGCAGCTCCCCAGTTCCCAACGGCGTGGTACAGGCACATCGTCCGTGGCCATCACGTCTTGTCTCGCGTCCAGCGCGGCACCAAGGCCCAGCCACCAGCGCACCTGCATATCGCACAGTACAGATGCAGGTGGTCAAGATTAGAATGACCCAACTGCATGACGACCGGGCTCGCGGCCAATGGGGTTGCGGGGTTGATGGCAACCCTCGAACCAACGAGCCGCAGGGGCGCAGGGATTGCGGAACCTCAAACCTCAAACACCATGTTTGGGTGCGGCACAAGCGGCAGCGTGGTCGGCAGCGGGTGTGTCGAGCAGGCTGCGGTCGTGCTCAGTGTGCTGTTCCGGCGCGGGAGTGGCACAGGTCCAGCCGCAGCTGCGGGGATCGCTTGTGTTGACATGGTGTGCCAAGTTCCCTTCCTGGCTTTTTCTCGAGGTCATTCTTTGGGTCGGGTAGCATCTTGAGTGCTGCCTGCGGGCTGACTCGAGCCATCAACCATCACAATTGAGCTCAAAACCCCGCCAGGCCGGCCCCTTTTTGGGCCACCACAAACCCACAACGTTGCAAGTCGCGCAGGGCTCTGTGCGGCACAGTCAACCTCTTTCATGGTCAGACCATCAACCTGCGGAGTCCCGTGTCCCACCACCGCGCCAGGCTCGGCTAACCTTTGACCTGAAGAGATCTGAGCGTGTCGCGGACTGGAAGTTGGCGTTCCACTTCCAGGTCAGGTTCTGAGATCTGGACCGAGTCGGGTCCACGGTGGATCCCGCATCGTCGGCCCGTTCAACAAGGCCAGTTCGGCTGCTGCTCCGCACAACACAATCTATCATCCCCTTGTGGTGTAGTTGGCTATCACGTTCGGCTGTAAAGGAATTTATTGATACCGAAAGGTCACCGGCTCGATTCCGGTCGAGGGGACTCTTCTCTTTTGCTGCTGCAGCATTTTTGCTGCGTCGCGGTGTCGCGCGGTCGTCCGTCGAGAGTCACGAGCCGTTCAGAGCTGTCAGTGCTCTCGGTCGCCTTTTTCTCGTTTGCCATGTTTGCATCAACCCGGACGCCGCACTGTGCCCTTGACCAGGAGGTCGGGCTTTTGGGCCCTTGCAGCGCAGCACAACATTCTGCCGAACCGTTATTTGCCCCCCACGGCGGCCCCGCAGCCCCAACCAAGGAAAACCCCGCACCACCAACCGCCCTGACTCGCGCAAAGTTGACTCGCTCCAATTGATAAGTCCGTCCTCAATCGCCGAATTTCCAGCAAATAGCAAGGGAGCTTGGCTCAGTTGGAAGAGCGCAGGTCTCATACGCTTGTATGACCCGGTTACACATAACCTGGATATCCTGAGGTCGTGAGTTCGAGCCTCACAGTTCCCACTCCTTTTGTCGCGTTGGCACCGGCTCAGCACCGGCTCCGGTTTTTGTGTTGAAGGGGTTTGTGTTTTACAGATTTGGTATCTCCTCCTGAGGTCGTTCTACACTCATTGGTCGAACCTGGTTTTCGCTTCGATGAATGCTACTGCCTGAACCAGCGCAAGCGGCAAGTACTCCACCCGAGAAGAGAGCGTCGACAGTTCGCTGGACATGGCTTACCTACTTTCTGACCTCGATCCGGCGGTTCAGTCTGGCGAGTGCCAACGGTTTTGTCGAACGGCACGGCCCGGATGAGCCGCTCAGTCGGACCCCGCACTTTCGCCTTGCGTGAAACTTTCAGGCTTACACATTCCTCAGCACCACACCCCTAAACTGTTTCAATCATTGGAATGCATGGCTCATCAAACTTCAAACATCTCCTGGAACGTGTTGGCCGCGAACCTGCACTGGTCTGAGGCCAAGCATCCCTGCCATGGAGATCTCCATCTGCGTTTCAAACCCGATCAAGCCAAGAAATTGGACTACTTTGTCGAAGGTTTCGTCCGCAACATTCGTGAGCATTCGTCAACAACCCGCAAGAAATATCCCGAGCACTATGACCCCCCACGTCCCGAAGACATCATCTTAGATGATGCCACGATCCGGAAAATCACTCCTACTGTGCGTCGATGGCGCGCCTATATGGCGCAGATGTGCCACGAGGACATCCTTCCGAGCGAGGACAAGACGTATAAAGGCCAATGCCCATGCCCAATCCCTCCCGAGGAGAGATGCGCTGCTGCATTTTACCGAGAGCACCAGCGAAACGATTGCTACCGCTTCTTTGAGGTCAATGGAAAGGCCTTTTTCAATCTCGAACTGATCAAGACGCTGCTTCTGTATGACGAAATGGACGTCATCTTTCGTGTGTCCGCTTACCCTGACGTGGGCCTCCGGACCTGGTGGGAAATGTCTCGGTGCCATTGCGAGGTGAGAATTTTCCCTCGACCTCTGCGTCGGCCGAGGTCGCGAATGCCTTCTTCCCACTCGTCGCTCCAACAAGTTCGCTGACGTCTCCGTCAAAGAAACTCGACGCCGGCTGGGATACTCTATGCAGAGTTGCATTGCTGCCGTATATCGGTCTGAATGTGATCTACTGCTTCCCGGAGACGTGGGACCCGGCATCGGGAAAGACTCGAGAGAAGGACTACCGCCAAACGAGGATCTATCAATACATGCTCAAACACTGCACCTTGTCAGGCACGACGTCCGAAGTCGCAACGTACCCACATCGACAGTTCTTCGGGATTGCAGACGGGCAGTTTCGCGTGCTCGGTAACCAATTTCGAATCCCCTCTCTGAGCCTCGTCTACCCCTACGGGTTGGTGCCATTTGAAGAGTTTCTGAATTGCGACCGAGTTACGGAAAAGAAGCCTGCCCCCTCCGACGTCCCGCAGGTTCAACAGATATTACGCAGCAAAGGACTTCCAATGGAGTTGGTCCTGGACATCATGGCACTAGCAGAGTATGCGCCACGGGGGAGGCTTCAGGTACCGCACGACCCACTCCACTTGCACAACAGGGACGAGCTGGCAAAGTATCTGAAGTTCTGCTGGGAAGTACTTGTCCGCTGCGACATGATGGCAGGTGCTCTCGGCATGGTGATTCGTTGGCGGGAGTTGGTATCTGAGACGCTAGTTCAGCTGTTCAGTTGTGGCCCGAGGCGTTGGTATACCCGAGACACTTGGACTGACCCTGAGACATATAAGTTCTTGTAGCAGCTGCATGGTTGACCAAATGGCATGGTTTCTTTCGTTATTGAATGCAGCTCTCAAGACTGTATGAAAGCCATTCCATGTCGTAACGCCAAATGAACTGACGTGTGCTTACATGACACATTCCTTATCCTGGCTCAGATCCATGGTGGCGCGCACCTCCGTCGCAGGGGAATGGCTGACCACTTACGAGGACGTAGCACTATGGAACGGAAAGTCGAAGCACTCAGCCAAGAGACACCACCAGGCGAGGCAAAACACCACTGCAATAACCGTCTGAACTTTGTTTCCAACCCATTGACAACACAAGCGGTGATTATCAAATACTCGCGCCTTCGTCCCCAGACTTGGATCATCCCGACCCCTGAACGATGCTTCAACACACGCCCGTTGCCAAACCACCTTCTCTTGCACCATGCGCAAGCAAACCCACTGATCTCTCAATCGAAGCGTCAACGCTTCCACCCTCTCGGCCCTCCCGGATAAAGTCCACCGAAGGAGGTACTCAGTCAAGATCCCCGACCGCATCCAACTCCTCCACATCCCTCCCCACCTCTGCATCATCCCCGGGCCGAAAAGAAAGCTCCCCCAGCGCTGGTGGACCAAAAAGCGCTACACCGCCGCCATCGTCGTCATCGTCAGAGTCTTCCGACTCTGAGTCATCCAGCGCCTTGGTGTCCGCTTCACCGCCCTGGCGAGTCCATGTCTGGTCTTGGGCGGCGGCGGCGGCGGCGGCAGTGGTGGCGCCGTTGACGGTGGTGGTGGTGGTAGTCGGTGCATGTGACGATGGGTGCACCGTGCTGGATTTCGGACCGGAGGCTGATGCTTCACCAAGGGTCCGTGACAGCTGGGACGGCGGGAGCGAATGAGCCGGGTTCGGCTGCAGCCCCGCAGGCTGATGATTTCCTTCCTGCCCTTCCTGCTGCTGCTGCTGCATCCCAACGGTGAAGATGGCCGACAGGACCTGCGCGGCAAACGCGAGCTGCTGCTGCTGTCCTAGCAGGCTGAAGGGGTGGACCTGCTGTGGATGATGACCCGGTTCACGAGAAGTTGGCGCCGGCGTCGGCGCTGGCGCTTGTGCTGTCTGCGCGCTCCGGGGTGTGCTCTGAGACGGCGCCTTTGGTTTGCCCTGTCTGCCCGGTTTCCCGGGGTGGGATCGGTAAAGGTGCCTCATGAGCTGGTTGCGGGACTTGAACGAGGCCCCACAGGTCCGGCATGCCGTCCGCCACTGTGGGTCGGTGGCCGGCGCCTGAGCAACGGGTTCGGGCGGCGGCGGCCGGGGTTGGGCTTGGGGGCCGGAAGAGCTCGAGGGCGTGTCCATGCTTAGGGGAAAAGTCAGTGGTCGGCGACCGGCCTGGGGAGAAGGGGTTCGGTGCGCTCAGGTCTGGAGAGCGGCTCGTCCTGCAGGCTGTCGCCGACACTGGCTTGACTTGTTTCTTGGGGTCGTTGCTTTCTTCTCTGGCTACCTTATCTTGTGGTTGCTTGTTCGTGTTGCTTGTCAAAATCGATCGAGTCACAGAGATGTGGGGAAGAACTATGTGGAGACCTGTAACTGGTAGATGCTTCACCCAATCATGGCGCACTCCGGACACCCGGCCTGCCGTGCCGGAGGAAGCTGAGACGAGATGGGAGCACGATGGCTGAAGGGCCTAGGTACGCTAAACTGGAAGGGAACTGGTACTGAATGGAAAAAAGTGGAAAGCAAGGACGACAAGCCAAAGCTACAAGACCAACGGAGAGGGGATGGAAGCAAACGACAGTGTAGCGGAGAAGAGGGGGAAGAGGCTGACAATGGGAGAGCCGCAGGGGTGCCATGGTGGAGGCGGGTTGATAGAGGGGGAACGGAAAACGGGGGGTGACTGGGTAAGGTAGACATTGTTATTGTTGTTATTCTGTAAATCCAGCTTCTCCTGTCTATCGCGCATCTACTTAACCAGTATCATGTACAAGTCTTCCGAGTAAGGTACACACCGTAGCCTGTGCGCCCACGCTCCCCGTGTAGAATCTCCAAACTCCGTGCCGTATATCCTGTTCGCATACATACGTAAATCATTCATCGTGACAATAGCAGGGACCTCCCATATTAGCAATAGCGTCCTCTCACGTGATACAGCGTTCCCCGTCGGTGAGTGATGAAAACCTATCCCATCAGCTCTTGGCATGCCGTGGTGCTTCTGGTTTCTCTTCAGGCACTGGCTGCTCAACCACAGACGCAGCCGCTGTAGCTGGGCCAGAAATATCAGCCGGCTCCTCAAACACATCATCCTCCGACGACAGAACGATAGCCGGCGAGTTGGGTCCCTCGTGCAGTGTGACGACAGTGGCCTGCGACTTGGTATGTTCCAACTCGGCCGAAGGCCGCGCGGGAAAGACCGATTCGGATGTGCTCTCGGGGCTGTGGGAGGTTGGAAGCCCCAGAAACGACAGCCCTGGCCCGGTGGTTTGCGCTCTCGCCCGCGGTTGTGGAGAAGGTGCCCGTGAGGCGATGGAGGGTGATCTGTAGATGCTGCCGTTGAAGCTGTTTGCTCGGGACCGCCGTCCGCGAGGCGTCAGGCCCTCCTCAATGTCGTCGCTCGGCTCACCCCATTGCTGCTTAATCTGGCTCAGCTTGCTGTTTCGGTTGCCTTCGCCTGGAATTTCGGGGAAACCCAAAGCTTTGCCCTGCCTGAACTGGTGGTCGTCAAACCGGTCTGCCGAGGCGGTTCCGAACGCGGTGGCAATCTTCATTAATGCTTTGGTGACGTCGCGCCTGCTGCCCGCGACCGTAGAGTTGGAGTCGACAGTATGGATGCCAAGACCGCGGGCGGCGTCTTCGTTGTCGGGGTAGGTATCGGTGCGTACTGGGGCCAACGGATAGGTGGGCGATGTGTCTTGCCTGGACACACGAAGATCGGTTTCGGGAACCGGTACTGATAGTGGCGGCCGTGTCATCTCTTCCATCTCGGGACCATCACTCAGGGAGTCGGGGCGGTTACTGCCGTGTTCATGGCAGAGACAGTGGCAGGGACCAGAGGCAAAAGGCGCCGTCTCCTCCTGCTCTGCCTTGTCAAGATACCTTGCCAGCAACATGTATAAAGAACCACATGCGGCGAGTACAGATGCTCCAATGCTGCTCCACTGGGACACGTTGGCAATGGGCTCCGTCTGGAAGTTGACCGGTCCGCTCCAGAAATTCAGCTCGCCAATGATGATGAGCGCGAGAACTGCACCGCCGAACTATCACAAAACAGTTAGCTCGTCGCTTTTAGC